CACTCATTCACACACACACACACACATATTCTTCTCTTGACACTCGCTCTAATATTTATAGTCCAGTGTGGATGGGGTTGTTTGCGGAGTTGTTGCTGTTGGATTTTTCGCACTTGGTCAGTTGCCTGCCAAAGCTAAATGCACATTTGCAGTCACCTTTCATGGGCGCCCCTCCCACACACACACACAGTCACACGCATACACAGCCTGTATACTTTTCGCTGTTGCTCTGTTTTGTTTTGTGCAATTTAACAGCTTTTGGCTGAAATAACAAGCCAGGCCAACACACAACACAGCACAACACAACAAACTCTGCATTCCAAACGCGACCAGCAAAAAGTCAAGCTCAACAATGCGCCAGTGAACATTCAAATCATGGACTGAGGGGTGACTGGTGAGAGGTGGTGAGCCGTTGTGGGCGGGATGTGCACGAGATGCAGGGATAAGGGGACCGTACATATTTTTGCAACACAAAATAAACCGCAACAGCAGCAAATTTTGTTGGTTAGTTTGGGAGAGTTGCTCAAATTTACATGGACATTGCACACACAAACTCTCACACACACACACACACACACACACACACACACACACACACACACACACACACAGATGACTAGACAGGCGATCTATAAGTCTGAGCATGTGGGTGGGTGCAGGCAGCACTGCAGCAGTGCGCCATAATAAAATGAAATATATTTTTAAACAATTACCTTTAGAAGTGCTTTTATGAAAGCGGAAGCTTCTGGCTAACCAGCAAAGCCTCAGCAGTTGAACAGAAGCAAGCCGGAAAACCAGCGCTCCGCAAAAAAGGGCATTAAGAGCACCCTATAAGCACATTGTGTGCAATCATAACGCCATTTTTATAACATTCGCTTCACGCAAAATAAACTAAAAATAATAGCTAGAACTGAGAGCCTATTCTTTAATTTTCTTCTAGTCTGTTGGTGTTTTCTGCCTTTCGTGTATTCAATTTTCATTTGTAATCCGTTTAAACTATGCCATAATGCATTGTTTGACTTATTCAAATCCCTTTCAAATTAAAACGAGATGTGCTTTTGTTACGTTTTGCACCAAACATAATTGTTTTATAAAACAAAAAGGTATTTTGAATTTCACAGTCGTTTATTTAAATGAAATATAGAATTTCGACTGTTGCAATTAGAGTCTTGGAGTAATAACAAAGTAAGGATAAAGAGAAAAACATAGATCCCGAATATGATTTAAAGACTAAAATAAGGCTGCAGTATAACTTTGCAGTTTTTGTGACAGTTTTTAACTATGGCGAAATAATAAATAAAAAAGAAAAAAAAAATTAAATAGTAACAAAAAAATAAAATAATAATATTAACAATAATAATGATAATAATAATAATAATAATAATAATAATAATAATAATAATAATAATAATAATAATAGTAATAGTCAAGTTAAAAGTAAAATCATCTGAATAATAATAAAAATACATGTAATAAAAATATAATAACAAAAATCTTATATATTAAGTCCCGGAAAGATCTCATACTTAATGAGGATTTGCCCAAAAGTCATCTCAATAATATTATAATAACATAAAACTTATATATTTAGGCCCCGAAAGATCTCATCACATAATAAGGATTTGTCTAAAAGAACCAAATAGAACAAAGCATTTTGAACTGTGAACGACGAATACGTGAGCTTTTTGCACAAAAGTGTTCAGCTCCATAATTATGGACGGGACTCATGTTAATATTTTTTGTTGTGTGTGTGTGTGTGTGTGTGTGTGCAAGCAGACTTGTTTGGAAAATTCGGTGGCATTATTTGTTGAGTGCTTTTCAAGGTTGTCACATCGCTTAGAGACTTGGGTCAGTGCTGCACCTTTTCAAGATGCCTGACAACACTTTCCACTTACCGCAACAAACTTCAAATGACAGCAGGAACGGAAGCCTGAACAGTGCAGCGCCCAAAACGGCAGAGCTGCATATAAAATTCCATTAAATAAGAAACGCCCCCCTGGCACATACATCTAACCCTCAGGCGGGGCGGCTACGCATGCGTGGCAGCAATACGCTCTGCCACATCCATATGCCCCCCCCCCCCCCCCCCCCCGTACAGCTTGCATTATGAAATGTACGAATTGTGTTGAATAAGTTAACAGTTGGTGCGTTGCACATGTTGCACACATACTTTTTGATGCATGTGCCACATGCTCAGACTGAGACACAGGCACAACCGACACAACAGACACCAAAGCCACGCACAAGTCACGTAGCAGCAGCGAGTTTGGTCTGACTTTTAAATTTCATGGCGCTGCAGCTAACTGGCCGAGCAGAAAAAGGTGCTAGACCAGGCCCTCGAGCTCGCTAAAATATATATGAATATATGTGCTACACCTGTACGATATATATAATATGAGCATTTAACCACGGCGGAAATTGTTTTTGAAAGATGAAAGCGCAAAAGTCCAATTAAAATTCTTTCTAAGCCTCGAGGTGAGCTTCTGCAGCTGTCGAAATTGACGTGCATTATTATCAAATAATTTAAGCGCACAATTAAGTTAAATTCTATACAATTATTCAATGCCCGATTAATCTGAAATAATCACACAAATGAACAATCGTTGTTGAAACTTTTCGCTTTAAGGCTTCTTTTTGTTTTGTTTGAATTTCATGGAAAATTCATTACCAGACCATGACCACGCCTCTTTTGTGTGTTGCACGCCCCTTCAAATAGTTGGCACACATTGAATTACGGAAACCCATTCGCGTTTTAAATGCCGGCCAAATGCAATAAACGCCAACTAAAAGCCACGCCAACAAGTAAAGCAAAATTCAAGCGAAAATAAAAAAAATAAATAAATAAAAAGTGCTGCTCGGTAGTGCTCGACTAGAGGGTACCCAGCGCCAACTTGACGTCACAAAAACAAATAAAGGACGCACTTGAAGCATTTAAACCTTATTAAATTTGCACGGCTTCATAATGGCATCCAAAGGTGTGTATATAACAAAGCCTACGACTCTGCCTCGGAGAATAAGTGTATACTTTTGAGGTTTGCTAATAATGCTATACAAAAAGTTAAGATTAAGACCAAAAATAGGTATGCCCATATACAAAATTTTCGCTAACTCTGATAAGTTCTTCTTGACTTCTTGTGTGCTACAAATTTGTTTTGTGCCGCCCACATTTGAAGTCACAGAAAGGATATGGATTGACAAGGATAGCTAGATTGACAAGGTTTTCAAGAATATATAAGCCTTATACTTCTTTTCGAAGATGCCTTCTGTCGCCTGTAACAGACATTAGCACAAACGCATTTTACCCCTTTTATGCCCCTTTTTTAATGGGTAATATTACAAAAGAAACACACAGAAATTCCGGGACAAAGTAAAAATGCCGAAAATAAAGAAACGCCAAAAGTATTGCAATAAAAATACATTAAAATGCCAACCAAATATCCGGCGAACCACCAGCAGCAATTGCAGTTGTAGTCATGCCCATCCCAGCTCCGAATCTTTATGTATATACGGCACAACAATCGAATGCGGGACACAATTAGGCGCCAATGTGATGAGATTATGTACAACTAATGCGGGCCATATATATATATAAGAAGAGCATACTATAGACATGTATTTTTATGGGCAATAGCTCGCATAAATCCCGAACAGCTGGCCTGTAATTCAAAAAGGACGCACGAACGTGCACAGCAGCTTTATAATTTATAGTTATGCTCGATTTCGGTATATCCAGCCCTGTAACTCGGACTGCGCCCTAAACTATGCAACGCCTTTTGCTATCCAATGAGCCGGAAATGCACAACAACATTTCGCACAATGTCTGCGGCCAATGTGCTCTTAATGCGTTCTTTGACTCTGGACGCGAGAAAATTTCCCAAGGCAAAACTGAACTTCGAAATGCTGATAGCAATCACAGATTGCCATTGCCTACCAGAAATCGAAATAGAAAACATATAATTAAACATTTTTTTAAATAGTTTAATTACATTTAATCTGAATAATATCCCCAATTCATACACACCCATTAAAAGTTATGTACATGTATAAGATACAGATAACATTAACACTATATATAAAAATTAGCTATTTTTAGCTATTTCTATGTAATCATGCATAATAGTTACCTGATTCTATTACTATTATTTTAATTAAAATAAGACTAACAAACATTTAGGGGCTCTGGCAGGAAAAGTCTTCTGAAACAGTTTCTGCTCAAATCTAAGTTAAAGAATTTAAAATTTATTTTGTGAATTTTAATGAAATCCCTTAAATATCGAAACTTGTACAAACAATGTGTATAAACTCACACTGAGGCACTATTTAAATTTGAAAAAAAAACAGTTTCGTGTGGGTTCCGCTTTTAATGAGACAAATGTTTTCCTTTAGTACATGAAAAAACACTTAGCGGGACATGCAATTTATTTATATACTTCGAGCGTGTCCAAAGAACAGACAGTCGATGAATCCATCCAGTCAGTGTAGCTGAAAATGTCGTTTGGATAACGGTTAATGTCTCTACAAATTATTTAAAAGTAAATACAATTTATTGAACAATTACGCAGTAAATATTTTGAAGTTATTCAATTCAAACCGCAAAAAAATACAGAAACAAATATTATTTATCGAAAAGTTGTTCTAGTTAGAGAAGAACAACTGGTTTACTCGGAATTATTTTTTCTAAAATTTTTTACAACAGTAAATAAACTAAATGTTAATTGCCTTCCTTTTCTTCTGGCATTTTCTTGAGAATTTTTTTTTTTTAATTTATATTTAGAATTAGCTCAAGTACAGTTATGCATGTTGACTTTAATAAAAGGAAGACTCCATTTTCATGTTGCGTTATCCTCCCCTAGTTCTGTATCTTAATGGGCATCATCTGTTTGTGGCACTTTACAACACTAAGCTCAATTCGTATTATTTAGTTCATACTAGCCGAAAATGTGTTAATTTTCCCAAAACAAATCACAGCAACTCTTGAAAGATCCCTGCTTTAAGCAGGCCGTTGGGTGTTTCGAAATAAAGCAAACAGTCAGTCGAGCTCTGGAGTTTCCCCAACGCACAAAAAAAAAACAGTCGCATTAGATTCCAAGCTGAATTCTTGTTAATGTTTCGTTTGTACGAGCTTTATTCGCTGTATTTAAAAAAAATGGCCAGCTACGGAGCATCGCCGACTTGGTGTCTCTGCGAGAAACTGCCGCGCTCTATTCTACACATTGCGCCCACTCCGGAGCTGTGGTGCGAGGTGTGCGGACGACGCCGGCGCCCGCGCGCCTGCATAAGCTCTTCCAGCGATGAGGAGGAAAAGGCGGCGGTGCGACAACAAATGCTAGCGGAGCGTCGACGCTCCGAGGAGGGGCGCCAGGGCTCAGTCCGCGTGAAAGTGGCCATGACCGCCAAGAAACCCAAGCCCAGGCGCAAGGCCAGCTGCATGAAGTGCGGCGGGGAGCCAAAGCCTCCGCTGGCTGGGGCTGGCCCACAGCAGTCGAAATCCAAGGGCACCAACCACAAGCTATACGCGGGCCGCTTCGGGCATTATCGCAAGCCGCAGCGTTTGCAGTCCAAGCGCAAGGACGAAGATTTCGCAAACGGACCAATCAATCAGATTGAGATTGAGCCGGTGCCAACAGCACCGCCGCCACCACCATCACCGCCGCCATCGCCGCCAGCTTATGCCGCTAAGCCAAGCGAATCGTTGTGGGAGCAGCCCAGCGAGGATATGCCCAATCTGGTCGCATTTGCGCACGAGGTATTCAATCGACCGCTGCATCTGCGCAAGCGCCAGCCCAGCTTCTATGACAATCTCTTTGTCAGCGATTTTATCCCGCTGGACAAGCCCATTACGGATTCTGCTGGCGGCGCTATCTCCAAGCGACGCCGACTTTTTGGACGTCCGCTGCGCTCGCATTGCAGCCGCCCGCTGCCGCCGCTATCCCAAGTTCTATCCGAGATTCTGGCGAAGCAGAAGGTGCGCGCTAAAGGTGGCGGCTTGGCGCCCAAGGAAGAAGAGCCCAACGGTAGCAATGCGGCTACACAATTCTCGCCGTTCGACATCTATGAGGGACCCTCGGAGGATGCACTCGTTGTGGACAGCGCTCGTCTAGTGCTGCGCCAACCAAAAGCCTTACATATCAAGCAACGTGCAGATCTGCCCCCCACTAGACTCTCCAGCTTCGAGTCCGAGCCAAGCAGCGACTGCTCCTCGTCGTCGCCCTTCGATGTGCCCTCGGCGCCACCTGCAGACCGCCAGCGGCATAGCTACAGTGTGGGCGCACCCTTGCGCCTTCACGAAATGATGAAGGCGGTGGCCCATTCGGGTCTGTCCGATAGCAGCGCGTCCAGCAGCAGCTCGAGCAGCAGCAGCCGCAAGAGCGCCAGCTCCACACTGCCCGTGCATCAGCAGTCGGTGCGCAGTCGTGGCGGAGAGGAGCCGCCATATATTGAGGAGAAGCCGGCTGAGCCCGAGCTGCTGCCCATTTCAATCATAGAAAAGATCTTGTGGCTAATGGAACAGAAACCAGCCACTGAAAACGGTCCCACAAATCCCTTGACAGACGACGCCTTGCAGCACATCTCCCAAATTGAAAAGCAGGACGAGCACATCGAGAATAGTCACTCAGAGTCGGTGAAAGGTCTGCTCCAGTTTATGGAAAGCTTGCATATCACAGATGCCGGCGAGAGCGACGATAATCGTTCAGAGATCTTGAATAACGATGCAGAGCTCAAGATTGTAGACACTTCCGTGCCAGAATCACACCAACCAAATGACATGTCAAACGAATTGCCTTTAAATACTTCAAATAAATCAGCAGGTGATGAAAAGTATGTCAACGTTTTATCAAATGGCAAAAGACACAGCGTAGACAAGGGCTGTGCCCCGAACGGACGGGCACGTTTGTTGTCAAAGCCATCCAGCTCGCAGTCCAGATCCAGCGGCAGCACTTCGATGTGGTCCATAATTAGTGGCCTGTTCACATCAAAGCAATCCAGCGGGAAACCAAATGTTTCCTCAAGTCTTGACGAGGAAATGAAACCCCTGAAAAGAGCACACAACTTGCACTATGGAACCATAAATGCGCACAACACAAATCCCACAAAGCCATCAAATCCATTACAATCAAAAGACATCAAAGAAAGCAAGCAGAGCTGCCGGAAATGTGGCCTGAATCGAAGGAAAAGGAACGTGGCGAATGCAAATACACAGCGTAAGCCCTGCTGCAGGCTGCATTCCTCTACAGATTCTAAAATAACCAGCACCAGTCCTTGTCAGACAACTCCGGGAACAAGCTCCACAAAGATTGAGCTGAAAGCAAAATTAGAGAAGCCCAGCATAAATAAGAAATGTAGAAGCCATAGAGAAGAGCTTAAGAAATCGTTGGATAGCTCAAAGCTTAAGGTGAATGTCACAAATGGAGCAGCAGAGTGTCCAACGCCAGCTCAATCCGTAACCAATAGTTCCACACATTTCGAATCGTGTTTCGGAATTGCGAGTCCATCAGTAAAACCAGCAGCACGGGTCGCAGATCTAAAGCCTGGAACTGATGTCAAAAATAATCTTCTCCGGGAACTGTTGCACAAGTTGAAGGCTAGCCAAAGGCAGAAGCCGCCAACCGTATATCATGCTATAAGGACCTTGGCAACAGTTCGACATGCCAGCAGCGAGATCATCAATCCCAAAATGGTGGCCGTCGCTAGAGACGTGTCTTTCGCATCCAACACTGGACAGATGCAACAATATATTGTAAGCCCGGCAACTGTGCCGGAATCTACCTTGGGCATATACGAGTTTCGAACTCCAGACATACAGGCCATCCAACTGGCCAAAAGCAATGCAAATTTTAAGCAGGAAAACTTAGAAGAAAAGCCTACACCTATCGCTCATTCAGAAACGTGTCTGCAAACTGATGAATCCTCGCTGAACAGCAAGGTCCTTGGAAACAAAAAAAACCATCCAGTATGGCCGGCTCATCCCTTCAGGCACAGAAAGGGACACATCAAATACAAAGCCATGCAACTGGAACTGAGCTACAAAGTCAGTGATGAAGATATGAGCATTAAGAATAGGCCACTAAAAGAATGCGTGACCAAGGAAAACAAGACTTTAAGGAATCGTAAGAGACGAAAGAATAGTGAAATGTGGATAGTTAATGAAATGGTGCACCAGAAAATAAACGAAATGATGACAAAGCCCATAAAGCTGCTAAGTGTGAATGAGACAAAAGCACTTCAAAGCTAATTGAGCCAAAGACATGCTCCTAACTCCTGCAAGAAATCGAGTTGGGGAAACGAAATAGTTAAGAGCATGAAAAGTGGAGAGTGTCCTACCTTATATCGTATAACATATATCTGCCAACTCAAAAGTCTGTTTGCTTAATTTTCCAGAACATGTGCTTGCCACCAGGTGCACGGCCCATCCGGGTGCACTATCGCAATCCTGCAGCAGCTTTGCTGAGTGCCTGTGCCAGTGTGATTTTCTGGTTAATATATTGCTTTGCACATTGTCTTATTTTGGTGAGTATGATTAGCTTATTAAAATATGTCTTAACCATGATTTCACTTTCTTAGTTAGCCGGCGTAGCTGTCATATTTGGTTTACTCTTTCCCCGATATGCCTGGTACTTGCTGAATCATTCCTTGGATCAGTACCATATAGAGCGTCAATTTAAAGACGAGTTATAAGCGAGTTGAATATATTTTAAAAATTGTGTAATAATTAAATATTCTTTTCTAATTAAAACGAGTATTTCTTTGTTGTTTTTTTTTCAAGATTTCTCATATCGGAATTGCCTAGCTTTATTTTAATAATTAATTAGATGTTTACACTACTAATTTCAATGCTATGTTGCTTTAATTACATTTAAAGTTAATGATCGTACACTTAATATTCTTTAAGTGTGTATATATATATTAATGTATAAGTATATTTGTATATATGTTTGTATATTCATACACATGCACATCATAAACATTATTATCAATTGCAATTGTTGCTCGCACTCAGTTTCAAATCAAAACAAAACAGAACTTTGAGTTGCTCACAATTTTTCTATAAAATCAATAATATTGCTGTTAAAAACAATTTGCCATAACTTTCTTTTCTGTTAGAAATAACAAAAGTCAACTGCAGCTGCATTAACCAAAATGCTTAGGCTATATATCTGTCTTAGTATGCACTATGGTAGGAAATGTTGTGAATTCAGGCACAATTTGAAAATTCAAATCAAACGTATTTACCACATAAATAAATTTGAATTTCTATTTTTGGACTTTTGCTTAATGCGCGGAAAAATCCGACATATCAATCTGTTTGTAATCAATATTAATTGCTGCTTTTTCTATTACTAATTGGATGTGGTTCATTTAAATACAGTAAGCATCGATTTTCAATGAATTCGTTTTTCGTTTCATTTTATTTTTTCACTCAGTTGCTGGCAACGTTTTGCACTTCACTTGAACTAATTATTTCGTAATCTTTGCTTGAGCTCTCCGAGTCCGATTCCGATTGGCGCGGCGTGCTGAAAGAGATGGAGGCATCGTTAGTACAGATATTGGCGGCTGGTAACCAGAAGCAAATCAAAAGGATCACATAATATCCACTAAAATAATGAAAATTTAAAATAAAGCTCAAAGCCGAAATGTGTGTGCGTGTGTGTGTGGGTGGGTGTGGGTGTTGTGGATTGGTGCGTGAACGTGTGTTTATATTTGTGATAAATTAAACTTATAAAACTTACTCAGTTAATGGGTTAATCATGACATTTAAAATCCATACTTTACGTAGAGCTCAAACTCAAGGAATCAGAACAGAATAGAGCTGCTTGAATGAGTTTCAATGGCAAATGGTATGATATGATACAAGGAATTGGTTGGATTTGATATCCAAAAAAAATGTGTCAGCCAAATCCAATATGCTCTACATGAAATATGAGTTTAATATACAAATGTACACATTGGCCAAAATACAACTTGACATTTCTAAACCATGAATTTCTTTAACAATTTACCTTATGCCAAATAATTTGTCTGCTTACATATTTATTTTTCCATTGTTATTCAAGAAAATTATAAAAACTATTTACAATGACAGGTTTTCATTCGTTGTTCTGAATATGAATTAGACTTTTTAAAAATTGATATAATTGATCATTAATCAGTTTAAACAATATAATTTTTCCGCTGATAATACGGCTACATGTGTAAATAAGTCCTTGTCCAATCTTTGTTTATTAAGTATAACTAAACTTATAATTTTTAAGCATCCTTTTTTTTAATATATTCCTGTCACCATTATTGTAATCTCTTGTTTAACTAGCTTTTGGATATTTAAGCTAATGTTGGACAACCAATATTGTTTAGGAGCTCTAAGACCAACTACCTCTTAAATGAGTTATGAATGAATGGCGTGCTTCAAGAGAAATTTATATATTTAAATGAAATGCAAACGACAATAACAAAATTGGCAAAATAAAATGATGAGAAATAAAACTTAATGTATATTGAAATCGTACAGTTTATAATTTATTAAGGAACAGAAATTTACACAATTAACAGCTAACGTTATTTTGACTTGAATTGCGAATAAACAAAATCAAGGCCAATAGATCATAGGTTAAAATTCGAGCAAATGCCTTAGAAACGAGGTTCGTTCGGTAAAAACAAGCGGCCAGCTTACCCAGCTTTGGTATCCTTGGCTTGCGCCGCTGCATCCCTTACTGGCGGTAAAGTCTCCGATCCTTCAACATCTTCGTCATCCTCCTCGTACTCATCAGCACCAACTTTGCGACGTTTGCGCACCTCCATGTCGGCATCGTGCTCTTTAATCTGCTCAATTTTCTCGGGTTCCAGTGGTAACGCATCCGGATCCGCATCCGCGTCTACATCAGCGTCACCATCGCCATCCGCATCAACAGCCGTATCTTCCTCCCCATCGCTGTCTTTATCCTTTTTCTTTGATTTCGATTTGGATTTCTTATCGGATTTGTTTGCAGATGTGGATGCGGATGCATCGGTAACATAATTGCTCTGTAAAAATGGATAGAGGGTATATTATGTTTTTCGGACGACTCAAGAACAGAAGCAAACACATACCTCATACAGTGGCCAGAAAGAGGCAAAGAAGCCAACATCTTCGGTCAAATTCGGAAAGATCCAGAAATGCAGTTTGCCACCGGTCAGAGCCCAGACAATGGTGAACACAATCAGACGCACGACAGTTAGGGCCAGTATGAAGACCAGGAAACCCGCAGCGGCAATGGACAAATAGTAAACACCCTTGCGTAAGAGCGGCGGCCACAATGGAAACAGGCAAATGCCAACGGCGCCGAGCAGCAATATGAAACCGAAGATCCAATAGTGCAAAGGAATGGGATCATAGATCCACACATATGCCTCGGAGCCATCGACGAAAATTTGTTCCGGATGCATGTCCAGGCGGATTTTGCGTTTCTTTTTCTCTTTCTTATCGGCGGCGGCAGCGGCCTGTGCCGCATCACCATCCGCTTCCGGGTCGGTTTCCTTTTTATCCGATGATGATGACGACTTTACATTGGCCTTACCGCCACTCGTCGTTTCTGTTTTGTCCTTTTCCTTGTCCTGTGTTTTGCTCGAGTCGGACTTTTTATCAGACTTGCCACGTAGCTCGTCAAGCGTGACAGGCACCTTCTTAGCACGATGGAAAAACTTGTGCTCCAGCATAACGTCCAGAAATTCGACGACTTGTTCGCGTGTAGTGAACAGTGGATTATCGCCCTCTGCGAATTTGGACTTCATTAGTGCATCGATAGCTTTGCTCGAGGTAAAGTACTCGACAATGTGACTCAGAAATTTGGTTTTCTTTGTCTTCACATTCTTCTTCAGCCATTTGGCGACATTCTTTTCATCTTTTGAGGGCTTCTCGATCTTCTGCTGTCCTGGTTCGGTGTACTCCTAGAATCAATGATAATTCACAATTATTTTCTATCAAATTCATTATATATAAGTATTTCATTTAAATTGATTTCTATCATTTTTGAAAGCAATGTTCATTTAAATTGATAGCATTATAATTCTAATTATTAACAATTCTAGGCAATTAAATTTTGAATAATGAAGTTATGTTTCACAAAATAATTGTTGTTTTATAACTATATTGTAAGCGTAATATAAAAAAATAACTAACTAACTATACTTTTTCAAAAAACCCATTTAAGCCACGCCATCAATTTCGTATTTCGTCACACTGTAGATTTAATTATCATGTGCACATAAACAATATGTACGTAAGTATTTACGTATTTTCAATAATATAATACCATGCCATCGTCAAAGATTTCCTGTTCTTCTTCCTCCTCTCCTTCTTTGGCAAGGCGCTCCTCGTCGCTCATTATTGCAGCGAGTCTTGCACTTGAATTTCGTTTATAAAGAAAATTATATACACATGCAATATATCAGGCCTTATTATTTCTTTTTCCGAGCCGTGACGTGTTGCAATCGCTAAGCGAGTCTAGAAAGTATTAAATCTGAGCAGCAAACAGGCAGCTGGCTGGTCAAACGAGTGCTGATACCCCACAAACGGCTCTCGATCGGTACACACATCAATACAAATGCAACCATGAATACATATATTTATGTAAATGTGTTGGTTTATACCGTTGTGGTAGAAACTTTCCCCAAAAACAACAACAGCAGCACAGCAGCAAGTACAAAAACAGGCACAACAGAATACAAACTAAACCGCTGATAAGTGGGTGCACCTGAGAACGGGCAAGAGAGAGAGAGAGCGAGAGCGACGAGACATGGCGAGAGTCAGCCAAACCGTAAGAGCATCGCTTACAACAGGGGGACCTAGCTTCTGCAATGCTTTACACACATAACACCAGCCATTGTGAGAGCGCTAAATCATCAACACAGTTACTGCCGATCACTAATACATTCGTACTTTATTCCCGCTCACAACGATGGTTTACAACACAAGCTTTTCAGTGTGTCAGCGTTGCCAGACCTGTCCCAATATTACAATTCCTACCAGCTGTTTGATTATGCGAACTATGACAATTGGTATGGTGGTGGGGGTTAGATGCCTGATGAACAAATAAAGCTGTTTAAATTGTAAATTGTCTGGACATAAAAGACGAAAAAGTGCACTTCCAAAGCGATTGTGGTATACACAGCACTTACAAGTTAATAATAGCCGGGTGCAAGCAGGGGGCACACACAGTTCAGACCGCCCACACACACATATGTAGGTATATGCGAAACATCAAAACACGCAAATACAGCCCGGCCGCATGGCAATTACGTATCAGAGCCCCCTCCCCTTCACACAGATACACTGATTCGACATTATATATATTTATATATACATTCGCATACATATAAGTGTTATAATTTTGACGACTCGGCGGCAGATTTTTAAGTCTATGATACGCATCAAAATGAAAACAAACACAATGAGCATGCCAATTGGACTGTAGCATATACACACACACATATATACACACTCATAGCGCACGACGTAAATTTTGTATTTTTTTTTTTTGTTGCGGACGCTGGATTTTGGGTTTGCCCTTAACCACACTTACATCTTTACGGCGGCGTGCTCTTTTCTTTTCCGACATTTTTGGTTGAGCACTATTTAATCGAATGTATTAATTGATTCCAAGTATTTTAATATTTCTGCCACACACGCACAACGAACTAGCGCACTGCAAGAGGAAGAGTGAAATTGTATGAAGTAAATAAAAAATACACCAAATAATACCAATAAAAATACCAAGCATCTGCTTGTATATTTTTAAAGCTAAAGGTATGTGCATACGATATTCAAGATTCAATTTTATCCACAAAATTTATGAAGCATAAAATAAACCAATTTTTTGTTCATATATTAATATATATTTAAGCAGCATGTAAAATAAACAAAACAAACCAATAGCAAAATATTTTTATTATAATTTATTTAAATGATAATGGGCAATTCATGTGCTTTGACATAATTAAAAAAAACGATTTGAAAAACCATGAACGGTTTTTTAAATTTGCTTTCCTAATATTCATTTTTTTACGACATTTTCTGTCTTGTTTTCTTTTCTTTTTGATTATTAACACATTCGTGTTTATTTTAATTGTCAAAATTGTTTTCGTAATCCTTTTATTCTTTCTAATCTAACATTGAATTTTTATGTTTTCTTAAAACAAGTTTCTCTAACACATAATGAACTACATTGGTTAAGACACTGCAAATAAGGAACATAGGCAAAAAATCGCGATATTGAATCAGATTCCTTCGATCCCCATACACAGTCTCTGGAGTTGTGGGTCCCATATAGCAGGCGCATACGCAATAAGTAACCATCATTTTATTGAGAAATATGCAAACGCGCTCCGCCCGGGTCAAGCTGTCGAAAGCGGCGCTTTCCCGCCAGTTGCCCGTGACTGGCTGCCACAGGCCCCAGTTGATCCACTGGCGCTCGAATTCAGTATTGAATCGTTCGCGCCAAGATTCCGTAATCATGCCATCGCCCGGACGGAGCACCATTGAGGAGCTGAGAATTAAGAACTTTTGGTGCACCCAGCGCTGGACAATAAACACCTGCGTTAGCTGTGCCTGCACGTCCATCACCTCGATTCTTCGCAAGAACCAGCTGGGATACCGTCCACCATTGTTGTGGACAACAGCAACTCGTGTCGGTATGCGTATGTCTCGCGTCCGCAGCCAGAGTATGTAGGTGGAATTGCGTGTCAGCTCAGGATGTTCCGGATCCTGCATCAGCGTGAACTGCAGCTCATTGCGATTTGTAGTCTGAAAGATCAGTCGTATCGTGGCCGTTGTCAGTGCATTAGTGCGGCCACCAGTTTTCAGAAAGACCAACACGTCGTGCACATCCCGATGGGCCTCATCCTCCAGGCCGGTCATATCGCAAACAACCGTCTTGCTGGGTCGCTTGTTATGATACAAGAACAATACTGCCAACCAAAGGGTCAACCCTACAAACAATAAAAAGTAGCCGACGACAATGTACCAATGGGTCTCGACGGGCAAATAACCAGTTGAGGGCACAGCTATGGCCGGCACATGGTACACATAGCTGGTATAGGTGCCCAACACGGTGCACATACAGTTCATGGAGCCCTTCTTTGGATACTCCATTCCGGGCTGGCAGTAAGTGTGCCCCCAACGCTGCGAGTCTCCGGGCAAACTGTAAATCCAATAATCACAGCTGCGCAGCTGAAACACAAACGAAAAGAACGCCGGTCCGCCTGGCACTGGAGTACTAAACTTGGCCTCGTATTCGGAGCTCCCATAGACCTGTATCGCTACATAAACACGATGCGATTTCATGCAATTGTTGCGCAACAGCATTGTCGAATTTTGCGAATTGGCTGGAACAATGCAACCGGACTTGGCAATGGACTCCCTCAGCCGTTTCGGTAGGTCTCCAAAGATTAGGAGCACTTGCAGCTTGTGTGTGGTTTGCGTAAAGCGTACCGCAACCATCGACGTCTCATCCACATTGACGCGATAAATGAGCACCTTCTGCATGCTTTCCAACTTTCCATGCGTGATGCAATTCATGTACTTTCCAGTTTCCGCGATAAAATCCTCGGTCTCATCCTCATCGATCGCTTTGGGCCGGAATCGAGCTGTTCCAATGGTTCTACTGGCTACTGGTTTTTTTCCAGCGACTGAAAAGTTTTCAACATTTTTATTAGGAGTCTTTCGCCAAATATTCTACCATTAAACTTGGTTCCCAGCGGGAACAAAGTCTATAGGCAGTTTATTATATTGTGTGAGATTTATGTTCAAACTAGTTAAAACTAAAAATATATTATTATTTAAATCTCAGTTTTATACTATTGTTTGCCCTCTCCAAAAAGTTTTTAGCAAAACTTTTACGCTGCATAGCATCTATAGATCCACATTTATCGATGCAGGCTATTGGAAGGGAGAGTTGCTCAAAGATTTAATTAATCTTGAAAGGCTTCACTTGAAATTTGCAGACGAATAAACAAGGAGCAAAACGGCTAGCTAAGAATATTTATGCTACTTTATGTACTGACTGTATAAACTGGACAACTTGATGGGCATGAAATCTGGACATAAAGATCCCATCACAGGTTTTTATAATTTTTACTCTTACAGAGAGTATCAGAATTTTTGCACGAAATATCATATAGAAGGAATCGGTGAAAATATGGAAGCAACTTATTTCATTTTTGTGGATACAGAAACAATGCGACGGAAACAAAGTATTGTCATAAAATTCCAATCTACATTGTTACCTCATTAGTATATTAATTCGTATTTGGATAAAGTGGTACTCCTACCTGGCGAGCTTTGAAATTGGTGCTTACCCACATTAGGACGATCCATGGCTGGCTTGTATTTGCCAATTATGGTTCTGAAGCTCAACTTGCTGTGGTGCAATAGACGCTCCACCTTGAAGTCGTCCCTATCATGATAAATGCGCACCGAGAGCAGTACCGAGCTGGGCTGCTTCTCCTCAGGATACCACCAGTTGAGCTCGCGTATTGTCGAGATGACTTTGATGCAAATCTCATTCTTGTGCGGCTTCTTCACTTCCTGCAGTAGCTCCGGCGAGAAATATACCTTATGCATGTGGTCGGTCGTCTCGATCGTGTAGGTGCGACCAGGTGTTATGTTGAAGCATTTAACCTCTAGGGACAAGCCGTCAACGTTGGTGCCGCCAAAATCCGGCTGCATGCCATGCTTGCGGGCAAAGAACAGGAAGCGATATAGACGCTCCGTTTCCCACATTGAGTTCAACCAGGTCATTGAACGTTCTTTGGCGTCCTCATTATTGTAGCCAGCGACGATTGCCATTAGCCTATCAACGACCGATTGTTGGAGCTTATGTTTTTTGAGAGCTGCGAAGTATCTGTCGTAAATGTCTTGCGGTGGACGTGAGATTTGGCTGTTGAGACGATTCATAATGTTGTAGACCGTGACACAGGCTACCGTCACATTAACAAACGGCTCCTCGACGAGCATCCGGTTCATGTCGTTGTTGTGCACAGACTGAAAGATCTTGTTCAGTATGGTTAGCGAGCGAATCAAAACAACCTGTTCATTTTCATCGATCGGCGTCAACTGAACGGCCAATGTATGCGTCAGATTAGCCAACTTGCCAAGCGCAGCGAGTGACTCCAGATTAATATTATTAAAGGCATCGATCAAAATCATGGCGCTCTCGGCGTTTGTAACGCCTGCGGCCAGCGATTGTATGGTCTGGAGGAAGCGCAACATGTGCCCTTGGTTGGCCAGATTCACGACATCGTTGGGTGGTTTTGTGATGAAGATCCTCAAAGCTTCTGGTGAGTCTACGGGCGCGTGCATCAATGGAGTTACCGTCACTCGCACCATCCTTCTAACGCACGTGAACAAGCTGTCACAGATGAGTACCTTGATGAAATTCAAATTATGCGGCAGATGAATTGAGCAGCTGCAGTCTTGGCATCTGTTGAGCAGTACCCGTTCCGCATAGTAAAAAAACTCGATGGGATTGTTGCGGGCCTGGAAGCTAATGCAGCATACCAAGAATTGTGTGATAGCCTCAATGCCTTTAAACGGAGTTACTGAGCACGTTCCGCCTAGGGGCGGGATGTTCTGAGTTAGACTCTTCACTTCTCTGCCGCTGCGGCCATCATTTGTGCGGACAACCAACTTGAGGGACGCTATCGTCTTGTCCGTGGTTATAATCATGGATAGTTTTTTAGAGGTGTGCAACTTTTGATCGTCCAAATACCAATCATAACTGGTCTGCGCATTCTGACAGTTTAAGCACTTGCCCCCAAGCAGCACCTTGTTCATCGGATTGTACATATTATGATAGCAGTTTGAAATGCATACAATCACAATATGCAAACTTTCAGTATCCACAGCTGTGATTGTCTGCGTCGCTTGCGCTTTGAGACCGGGATCATAATCGGACGCCACTTTTAAAGTAAATATATAGCGACATCCAAACGTAAATGAGTAGGCGGCTATTCCAAATTTCTTGACTGCAAATGGTTACAGACATGAATTACATTTTTCGTCAAGCTATCCACACAAATAAGGACTATTTATATTCAAACACTAAATAGGCTTACACAGAAAGGGGCAAATACTTTGAGTCTAATGAGTCTATACTTTAATCTAATGCTTAACCCGAGAGTCCGAACCTGAGAAGATATTCAGGGCTACACTACAAATTTCGGTTCCCTGGGTATTACGAGTAGTCGCATATAAATGATTTGTTATCCATTTACCTCTAGAGACATCTGGGCGGCAGGCCGTATTGTAATAATCATCATATGAGAAACAGTCCCAGTTATAAACCTTAAATTGTGTTTCTTTCGGCCGTTTGGAGTAATCGCGGCTCAGCGAGCCGTCCAAGGTTATTTTACTGCCCCTGAAGGCTTCCCTATTGGTGCCACCACTGATGATCACCTCCAATTTTTCCTGCTGCGTCTTCAGGTAGCAGCGTGCCCCGAATTTTTCGCCGTTAAAAATGCCCTCAACATAGAGCATGTAGAGATTTTGCCATAGCTCAAATTGCATTGGATAACGCAGCTCGTAGCTCTTTAAATTAAACGCCATATCTTCACCGGGATAGCTTTTCAACGTTTCTGTTAAGGGATTAGCTCTATAGAAAAAACTGATGGAGATCAGCAACTCACCCTTCCCAAGCACATCCATAACGCTCCATGTAAGAATCGGATCCGACAGGCCGCAGCTTCTAAAGAAAAATGCCCGAAATAAGATACTGCGGGTAATAATTACCTGCTGTGGAAAATCGGGATTTGAACAGTGCATCACACTCAGCACCGGTGTGCAATTGGAAAACGTATTTATTGACACCGATACAACCACCTGAACTGGTTCAACATGTTTTTTTAATGGCGCAGTGCCTTCCAGTTTCAGTGTTGTATTCGCCGACTCATAGAAAGTTGCCTTTAATTCCGCATAGAAGCCCGTTTGGTAGCTTACAGGAACGCTTGGCTCAATCTTGCGCCGCTTCAGATCGTTGCCAATTTTCCGTGAATAAGTGAAACTAGGTCGCATTGGCTTAGCTCCACGCCCGATTTCCCAATAGGCCACCAAGTACCTGGCCGTGCTGACGCGCAGTACAACCGTAGTTTTCGGATATTCAGCCAGCGTGATCAACAGCTTGGTCTCCACACCGAATGTTACCTCCGAGTTGGCATACAGCATTAATTGGCATTCCAATAGTACATCATCGTCCGCGGACCTCGCGTTCCTTATGTGTATCAGCAGGACCAAAACTAAGACCATAAATGTATACCGTGATAGATCCATGATGCCCTTCGATCAATTATTCGAGAGATTTTAAAATAGTGTAGTGTGATTTACAAAAAAAAAAAAACATTGCCGTCTAGAGTGTGTGCGTACACAGTACTGTAATAATTTCCAAATGGAACTAGACAGGAAACTTTTACAAGGCAATGCACCTGCTATGTTCATAGTAAGTTTCTGCCGAGTTTATACATATATATATAAATAAATTCCCTTTTATAATAATTCTTCAAGGTAAATTGTACGAGATGGAAAATTATGGCAACTGCATATAGCACGGATTTTCTAATTATAATATTTAACATAATTTTCCCATACATTTTTTTTATATCTCCAAATTTATATATATATATCTCACAAAACGGAAACAATTTACCAAAGTACCTTTTGTACAATTTAAGTATTTTCTTTAAATTGGAAGCAAGAATCCGTAAAAACTAGCTTCTCTTGAAGAAAAAACACAGACTTATTCCGTTACTATTTAATCGGAGTGTTAAGCCAGAGATCAACTTAGTCGCGTCGATATATATTTGATTATTCTTCTAGCTGCGAATATAGTTAAAAATTAAGGTTTTTATTATTCTTTGTTTTACAACAAAATACAGACTAAATAATAAGTAAAATATATTTATTTATTTATTTATATACATATATATATATATAAATATATATGTATATATATAATCTTATTATTATTAATATAGATCCCTCGAAACTCTCTTGGCTCTAAATGTTTACACTATAATTTTTGTTGTTTTGTTTGTTTGTTTCTTTTTTACTTTTTTTATTTCTGTTCCAGTTATGTATTTTGTTGTTTGTTTTTTTATGATTATGAACAAAGAAAACTACGAAACGGTAGTTGGTATTGCATTGGGCAATATGGGTTCTAGATTTATGTGCGATAAAAGTAAACTATCTATAATGCAAGTTTTGTTTTCGTTTAAATGAAATGTAATGTGTAGCCAGCGCCGCGTACAAACAAGGGCTTATTAATTTGTATTCATTTTATTTTTGTCGAAATTTTAAATTTGTTTTAAACTGTTGCTTTTGTTTCAAAATATAGACTTTTTGTACAATTTATTCGCATGCTCTCCAACAATCACAAATACATGCGTATTTGTATATTAATATAAATTATTTTTACTTGGGCAGCAACTTTAACATAACACCAAAAGAGAAGCGCAGTCGCTCGACATATATTTCAATAATATGCAGCCTTTGACACAGACAAATGCCCTGCGGCCATATTTTCTGCGGCCTTCGAGGGTGCGGGGGAGGAATTCATGCGTATTGCTCGAACAACGGCGACGGCTGACATTAGGCCCAAAATAAATCAAAACAATAATAATTATAATAAATGTTAAAAACATCAGAACTATTAAATTATAACGCACAAGGAGGTATGAAAGCGGTCCGCTAACACACAACTGCTTCGTCAACTGGCTATGTATATGTGTATATGCGCGCCCCTTTGATCTCGTCTCTCACATGGGTCTCTCATCAATACTCATCAATTCTCTTCATATTTATCATCTTCTCTTTTCACTCGCACTCTCTTTCTCACTTTCTCTCTTATCTCCCGTATATCTGATTTCAAACGCTGGCCCAGCGTTCGCGCCTCAAGCTTGGCGGCGGCATTTCCAAACGTGACAAGAGACCCGGTCTGGTTGACACGTTCGCCAGAATGTTAATTGGCTTGGTTTCTTGCTTTAGACTTTGATCTGGATAGAAGTTACTCTAGTTTTGTGTGCGAATGCGTTTGGGGTGGAGTAAAGAGGCAGTTGGGGTAGAGATATGAATGGATTAGAACTCGTGTTGCAATAACAATAACTACACAAATGTAACGCAAATGCATGCATCAATTATTTTCTTCGATTTTATACAACAACAAATTGATGCAACCAGTGGCCAACATGTGTGTGGTTACTGCTGTCAACACGACTCCAAATGTATGCTTGTTTGTTTGTTTGTTTGTATGTATGTATGTGTGTGTGGCTGTGTGTCAGTTTATATGTATGTTACGTTTCGTTTGCTTGTGTGTACGGTTTAAACTAAATGATAAAGTATAGTTTAAATGGTAGTCGTGTTAACTAAATGTTAAAATCTGGATCTTACGAATACAGCACTCGAATCGTGCTCGCTGTACCCCAAGCGTTTTGTATGCTTAAACACCTCATTCGTAATGCTCGTCACAGGCATCGACTGATCCAAGTTCTCAGCCATGTTGAGCACAAGACGCAAGTCGCGCTGCATATGACTTAACGGTTGCTGCGGATTAAAGTCGCCCTTGGCCATTTCTGCAAGAAAAACAAAATAATATATTAGCAAAAAATTAAACAAATTAAAATAATACCCAAAGAACATTTCATTAACAATTGTAAATAAAGTTATAGTACAAGAAGACATATATTTCTTAATTGAATGCCTTGATCGGTAAGCTTAAAACTTTCAACGATTTTTGCAAACATTAACAATATCTACGCCGAAAGAACAACCCTATTTATCCAGTCAATACATGAATATGTAACTAAACTATGTCAGAGTTTTAGATATTTCAAATCCAACATTATTTCAAATAAGGAAAAAATAAAAATATCCACGATGAAAACAACTAGACAAACAAAAACATGAATGTAGTATAATTAAAATTACATTATGTTCGTTAAGAAAAGCTTTTATACAACAGTTACAACTTCTGCGAAATTTTGGAATAGAAAAAAATAAAGAGTTTTCGTAACGGAAATTGATATAAATATTTAGAATATAAATACTTAGTTAGTTGCTAATCTTCACACTTACCCTTGCCCTTTGCTAGGAGCAGCGGCGATTTCATAGAAGTTAAGTCGAATATGTCTATGATATCGTTTAGCGAAATGGAAAAACGATCAGCTGCAAGCAATTAGATGCATTTATGAATTTGATTTAGTCGTAGAATAAAAAGTCAACGTACCCAAAGCTAGCGCCTCTGCCAGGCCAACAAGACTGACGCCCAGAATGGTTTGCAAAATGAGGTTCACTTTACAGGCGTTGCCAACATCTGCTAGATAAAAACCATTATCCAAATTATAGTGTACGATTGCGATTAGCTAAATATTATTGGTATTCTCAACTTACTGCCCAAGAAGAAGGTGTTCTTGGCTATAGTCTTGAAGCAGGAATGGCACTCCTCAAAGACTGTGCGATCACCGCCGGCCAATATGATAAGCATGCCATCGGCGGCCTCTTGTCGCGAGCCATGTATTTGTGCCTCCAAATATCGGCCATTACATTGCTTGATGCCCTCTCCAATATCCATTGACGTGTCCGGATCGATGGTCGACATTTCCACGTACGCCTTGTTCCGCAAATCCTTTAGCTGCAGGACACCACAATTACCGAAGACGAGCTGCAACATAAAACGCAATCGAAATAGAATATGAGCAAAATGAGGTCTTCCAAGTGCCGAAATTTAAATACCCTTGCCGACATTATAGTACATAATATATATATTTGTGATTAATTAAATTTTCAATTGACTGTTTCTATGGGTTGTCACATGAACTTATAGATTCTCTTAACAGCTTAAGAAACTTAAATCTTGCAATGCAAAGTTATAAAGGTAACTAATGAAATGAACTGGGAGATTTATTAGTATGACAGAGAATTTCGTTTAAGTAAAAAATGCTAAATGAACTTACATCTTTGGCACCTTTGGGATCTGACACACAGCAAAATATTATGTCCGCCGCCTCCACGACATCCATGGGCGTGTCCTTAACCTCAGCGCCAGCATCAACAAAGGGTTGACACTGAACACGTTTGGAATAAAGAGTAAGAGATAAAACAACATTTAATCGAAATAATTAACTTTGGGGGCGAATAGAGATTCACCTTATCAATGGTGCGGTTCCAGACCACAACCTTGTGTTTCGTGAAAATCAAGTCCTTGACAATAGTCGATCCCATCATGCCCAGACCAAGAAAACCAAATGTCTGCTCCGACGGCACTATGTCACGATCTGCCAATGTATTGGAGCGCGAATTCATGTCTATGGCTTGTGTCTCTGGCCGCGTGACAACCGGTCGATCCAGCAGCGCAATTGCGTTGGGCGTGCGCTTTGTTAACGTGCCCAAAAAGGCATCTGTGTCAATACGCGCTCTTGCTGCCAGCGATGACGAGCTGCCGACATCGTAATCGGCACCTGGACTCTCATAATGGTCCACCTCGCCGGATGCAGCGCGCCGGCCGCGCTTGGCACTGCCTGCACCGGTGGGCGTGTGTTGTGCCGAGATACGTCGCTTTTGTGCTGCTGCTGATTTCGCAGAGGCCGCTTTGCTCGCCTGTTTGCTGCTGACAACGACAGCGGCGCTGGACTTAGCTTTGGGTGTACGTTTCGCTTGACTCTTGACAGTTGGCGTAGTTGTCACAATTGGGGAAGTGGCAACATTCACACTGTTATGAGCGGGACAAGTGTGCACCGCATCCGACTCATCGGGACTGCCAACGACATGGGGGACAACGCCATTGTTGCCATCGGCTGCCGCCTCAGCATTCTCGTCGCTGTCCAGGCCATCGCGTATCTTGTCGAAGTCTGCCTCGGTGGCGTGATTGGCCATGCCACAGCTCTCATCGATTTGGCCATCTATTTCAGCAGGACTTTCCACATATTTGTCAATATCGGCCATGGCGTGCCTAAAGGCGGCCGGTTTACTAACTTTTGCCAGCTCTTCTTTCCAGGGACCCTCAAACGGCTTTATATTGTGCTCTTCAATCCAGGCGCTGTACATACACACAAACATATCACATATCACATTAGTTATGTTTTACTTTGTTCGAATCTTCGAATTTACTTACAAGTTACGCGACCCAAAGAAGAAGACACATTTCGTATTGGCGCGTCGCTGCTGGCTAAGCAGATCTAGCGGTGGCTCCACAATCTGCAACACAACAATTAAAACAATTATAAAAAATCAAAATATACACCAGCTATTTTTTTTTCTAGCACGTATGTACAATAACAACACAGCACACACGCACCGATGCAAAGTTCAAACTATTTCACTGTGAATGTTATTTTTTTTTCTCTTGTTTTTTCGTTCATTGTTCGGCTGTACATAGAAGAAAGCTGTGATATTTAAAGTCAAACACAAAACAAGCGCGAGCTCTTGATATCAAGGCTTTCCGCCACACAACAGCAGCAGCAGCAGCAGAGACAATACGCTCCGTTTACAACAACAAATGTTGAAGCATGCAAGTGCGTTATGACGTCGACAGCAACAGTAACAGAGGCAGCAGCGCACGTCCGACGCCTCTGCCGCTGGTACAAGAAAAAAGTACAGTCGAAAACAAACACGGCAGCGGCAGCGGCGTCGCCGTCGACAACAGCATAAACATTTCGCTTACCATTCCCGGCCATGGTGTGAAGCCCTTCATTTTGGCCCTGTAATATAAATAAATATAACATTTTAGCTTAGTATAAGGCTTTTGTTTCGATTTTATTAATATCAAAAACTACTATGTATAAAATTAGGCGCGCGCGCGCGAAAAAAGCGCCAACGCAGCGACGTCGACGTCGTTGCTGCAGCAACAGCAAACGTCGGCAGAGCCAACTACAACCAAATCGTTTATGTAGTGTTCCGAGAACATAAATGTATTAAATGTTTTATGTTTTGCTTGATTATGAGTTAATTGTTCTTTTGTATTTGTCCAAAATTTTTTTGCTTGCCCAACACAGCGGCAATTGAGGTTATGTATGTTTGCATTTAATTTTCTTTTCACCAAATCGGACACAAAGTACAATCCAGCATACACAAGTTAGTTTCGCTGTTTGTTTATTGTTTAAACCACGTCCATTTTGCTTTAAGCATCGCAGTCTTACCATATTAAATCTTTAGGCTTGTAGATAAATTTCTCTGTCGAGTCGCCCGATAGCGACAATTTTTTATTTTTCGACATGATGTTATCAAGGCGTATATTAAACTTGGTTATTTTGCTGCTGGTATTAGGACGACACACACAAAAATGGTATATTTGCTTTAGCACAAACTTGTCGTTCGCAGCGCTTAATTAATTTTCTTAATTTTTCGTACGCAGCCTGCTTATTTTTTTTTTGTGTCTTTATATGTGTGATGCGCTTTGTGTATGTCGATATAATAATTGTATCGAAAACAAAAATGGCGCCCGACATGTGATGCGTGTGCTTATCGATTATTTAGGGATTTTTCTGTCAAGCAGGTTGGCATTTCTTAGATAGGTTGGCATGTCCATAAAATTAAAATATAAACAAAAGTATGACCAGCTGATGGTTTTATTGTTTGGACTGCTAATTGTTTTATTGATTTGATTCCTATATGATTTACTTTTGCGTTCGTTTTATTTCGAGTAATTTATTTTCAACTTTGTTAATCACACTTACATTATAAAACATACATACTGAAACACTTATGTATTTTTGTGTAAATTATTGACAAAATTTTATTTGATTTAGCGCTTGCCAAGTTTAGATTTAAAAATCTCTTAAATGTATAAATATTAATTTAGGGCAGCATGCATGAATGCCATAAATTGAACGCTCAACGATTTGCAAAATAAACACAAATGCGTGCCAAGTCTAGCCACACATTCAAACAACCTCCCCCCCACCCCGCGCAACAAATGGCTTTTAACCCGTGCGGCCTGATTTGTTTAAATAAACGTTTGGCAAAGCGCATCGCAACTGGCACATTTCAATTGAGTGCGTTAGCAACTGAACTCTGCACTGACCTCATCCACATTCGCGCACACAATTGGTGTTTATCTTGTGCGTGCGATCTTCCGTCCCTTCGCAATTTCGCAAACAATGCGAATCCGGCAACGCCAGTTCAAATAGAACTTTCACTTAGGACCAAGCCGAGGCATCCATCAGACGAGAGTCCTTAACCGCAAAATAAATTACCACACGTAGCAGCCACTTGGCAGCAAGGCAGACGGCATTCAGCACTAAGCCATAATCCTCATAAATATGAAACAATCAAATAAAAAAAGGAGTTAGACCCACGCAAGCAACGAGGGGTTGGGCACACATGACAGACGACGGCGACCCATAAAACTTTTTTATAGGCGACAAGCAACGGCAAAAAAAAAAAACAGAAGAAGTAGCGGAACAGTGAAAGTTGCAAGCAGGGTTAAAAAGGGTGAAATTGTGCAGTTTTCTATAGAGAAAGTAACAACTTTTTTGGGGACAAATAAATTGTTCACACTTTGTTTTGAAATTAGCCAACAAAAGGGTTGGGTAAAGGGTGCGTGCAGTTTCCGATTGCAATGATTTATAAGGGAAAACATGTACATGCCTATATATACATATATACGTTTAATAGCTCAGAAGTTAGAGCATATAAATCCTAAAGTAGAATAGAATTGAGTCTTTTAAGAAATGAACATTATCGTAACTGCCAGCCATTTGTTTAACTGTACAAACAACAAATTAGCAAGTGGAAATACATAACTAATTCATATTTAAAAAAAGGAGATAAATTAGTCTCTTGGATGTTTTAAAACACCGTCTTTAACTGCCAGTTGGAAATGGAAATTTCAACTCAGAACATCTTTTCGCATACACACAAAAGAAATACGATATCCACAAACTCACACACACGATCGCTACACCAACGTGCACATGCATGTCTAACATTCCTGTGTGTGTGTGTGCATATGTGTTCGTAGATCCGGCGAGCAGACGTCAACTGTAAAGCGACGGCAGTCGATCTAAGCAGCTCTTTTATATCGTATCGTGGTTTCAATGATTGACTTATTGTTCAAAACTGAAAATCTGCCAATTGAAAAGTGCAGTTGTCTTAAGCTGTTTGCTTTGTGTTATGAAATTCTTTTTATTTTTTTTTAAACTGTGTCTTGTCGCGTGCGTGCATCCGTATTTGTTTTAAAGCACTTATTTCCATGGTTGTGCAAAGCAATGTGCACCTTCAGCTGCTGAGCTTTTGCAAATGAATTGTTTTTATTAAACATATAATTTTCGTTATCAACAACTGATTATTCGGTGAGTACTGCTTAATTGTATAAATCTAAAACATATACGAGCGAATGCTAGATAATTTCTTATCTCCTGTACTTTAAGCAGAGCTTTGCAACAGATTCAAAAAGTCATTTCGACTCATGCAAACGCCGAATCTGTTCTCATTTTGTTTACGTTATTTCACTTCCATATTCGCTGATAAAGTGGTTTTTGAGACGCCGTTATAAGTTTTGTTTACATGTGTGAGGCTGTGTGTTAACTCCTCGCTAGATCTAGGGATGGACGCATGTATGTATGTGTGTATGTGAGTGTGATTCTCAGAATAGGGCTTATACCAACACGAACAAGACACGGTAATCAATGGTTATCAATTTCAAATAAGTTCTTAAATCATTTAAGCACTTGATGTTGATTAAGGAAGAAAACTTATTACTAATGCTGCTGAATTTGAATATAAAGTGTCTCTATACAGTGGAAAGATACATAGTTAACATTATTACCATAAAAATTAAAGTATGTTTGTAATTAAACCTTCTGCTTAACTATGTATTTATTCACCTGTTAATGCCATGTTCTTTTGTTTTTTTTAACCATTTTTTTTTTAATTTTAATTCAGCTTAAGTTGTCTTAAAATATGTCTAAACCTAGCCGTCCTTGACTTCACTGTCAAATCTCTTGACAAGCCGACTGTCACTTTAATTATTATTATTTTTATTTGCAGCCAAACGCAGTGTATCCTGACAACTGTGGACGCGTTTTCTTTTAATCATTTCAACTGTATTGTTTTTTCTACTCGTTGCGGATTCTCCTCAAACTAACTCAAAATGTCTGCCGGCGACATGGGCCAAGCCAAGCGATGTAAGTACATACCCTTTAATTGATTGTTGTATCATTTACAAATTAGCTTAGGTTTTTGCGCTTGAATAGCCAAGCCGTGATTGATCTGTCAACCCCTCTGCGAGCGGCAATGCATTTGCATATGTTCCACCACTTCTGGATGATTTCGTTGCATTTATAAGATTTTTTATACGATAAATTATAGTTTTTTATGTCCACTTAACTGCGTTGGGGGTAGGCAGCCGCATTGTGTTTCCCCGCAGTAGCTATTCGGCATGGTTGTTGTCTTCGCTGTAAGCGGATCGTAATACTTAAATTCGCCTATTGTTGGCGCTGAACACAGCTGACAAGTTTGCCGTTAACCCACTGTAGCCTGGTCACTTTTTTTTTATTATTATTATTTTTTTGTATTTCATTCTTAATTATTTTTATTTTGTTAGAATGAGGGTCAGCAGATATACAAGGCATCTAGTAAACTGAGTTTTATGTTTGTTAATCAATTTATAGTTAAGATTTCAGGCCGGGGATTATCAGCTGTCAGTTCTTGTGCCGCAATGGGTTAAGTGTTGCCGTGTAGCTTTCGCAGTAAATTCATTTACACAGCAACAATTTGAAGTGCACAACTGTCCACGGGCAGCTGTGGCGGGGCTGGCAGAGTGCACTTCCAGTGCGGCACAAACAAGTGGCAAATAGGCACAAGGACCTCCACTAGACGCGGTAGTTGCGGCTTTTGGCACTTTTGCTTTGCCTTCCGCATTTTAAATGTGGAAAAAAGCGCCGCTTAACTGCACAGCCAAAGCTTTGTTTCAAACTTAATTAGCCAAGTTGCAAAATTTAATGGACCTGGTCTTAAATTAGGCTAAGGACACACTGTTTCATTTATACAAGTGTGTACAGGGAGCGAACGCTTGCTCTATCAATATATTTCCTCGATTAATGAGCTATACCCTTAAGTAACACGGCAATACTGTTTCATACTCTTAAGTAACACGGCAATACTGTTCCATAGCCTTAAGTAACACGGCAATACTGTTCCATAGCCTTAAGTAACACGGCAATACTGTTCCTGTTCCATACATTTGAACGTGTTCCAATTGTCAGCTAACTAGGCAGAGAGATGTTTGTCTCATGAGCTGTCCGTTAGTAGAGCTTTTACTGTATATATATGTATGTATGTGGCATGAAATTTTTGCGTTGCGACAAAAAAGACAAAAGTTGGTCTGGCGTGGAAATCACAGAACTTTCCGCATGAATGATTGTTGCCGGCGCTGTGGAAAATTATTTGAACTTTAATCTACGGCCATTAATTTCCTTTGATATTTTAGACGCAATGTGCAGAACTCGCTTTAACGCAGGCTTCACTTAAAGCAATGGAAACTGAGCTTTTTTCTTCTCCACAGTCCAGCAGAAGGAACCGGAACAGATGCAAAAGCTGGACATTGATGCAGTGGAGTTCATTGTGATTACGCACTATGTGAGTCCGCAGCTGTTCTGCTACATAACGCTTCCTCAACTGGAAGCGTGCGGCGCCTATGTTAACCAGGTGGAGACGCATCTGTCGGCGCATTGTCACGCGCACAACCAGCGGGAGAACTATGAGTCCAATGAGCATGTCATCGTGCGGTATCAACCGCTGAATATGCACAAATGGTTGCGGGGCCTCGTTATGGTTCGCCAGCACGGCGAGTATCTCGTCTGGGCGATGGACTATGGCTTCACCATCAACTGCAGGGCCAAGGATTTGTGGTTGTTGCCTGCGTTCCTGAGCGAAAAGTACATCCAGATCGAGTGGGGCGGCGTGGCCTGTGTGGCGCCCCGCACGGGCACCCAATGGTCAAAAATGGCATTGCGGCTGCTCGACAAGCGGATGGAAGAGGCCCAACGATTGATGTTCAAGGTCGAGTACCGAAACGAAGAGCGACACAACTTTGGTCAGTTGTGGCTCCAAATGTCGAAGCAAGCCGAATCCTTGCTGAATGCTGCCAGCTATCTGGTGGAGAAGCAATGTGCACGCCTAGAGCAAAAGGAGCCCAGTAAAATACAGGCACACAGCTGTAGGGTTGAGAACGACATGGATCTGGCGGAGTTGAATGACCCAGACATTCGGCCTAATACGCGCGCCCTAACCATTCTCGAGTTGATGGAATCGCAGCGTCCTAAGATGCCGCTGACTATACCCAACTTGGAGGCACAGACCAACTCGCAAAGTTGCAGCGAAGAGAAACAGAAGTATGTCGATTCGATGCTTAGAAATGGCTATCATAGGCTGGGCGCCAAGACACGTAATCTGACCTGCCCCTCGACGCAGTCGGCCAAGCTGGACACACTGCTGCAGGCCCGGACTGTGCCAGAGATACCGAATTCCGCCAAGCGTCTGAGCAAGGTCAGCAGTTGCAATGACACCGTCGTGGAGACGGCTCTTAAATGCAGCTCAGGCAACTCGAGCAGCAGCAACAGCTCCTCGGACAGTTTCGAGGTTCGCGAACAACAATCAAAGCTCGTCCGATTGAACAGAAGAAACATTCTGGATTATTACAGGCAGGAAGTGGTTAAGCCGCAGGTCAATCAGCAGCACATTAAGGCCACCCAGTTAAAGGAAAATGGGAGTTCGCTCCATCAAATACAGGAAATCCCAAAGGTGGTCAATAGAAGAGACTCTGCGCATGAGAGCATATCTCTGGTTTGTACCCAAGAATTCACAAGCGAATTCGGGCAGGAATCTGTCAAAGAAAAAGTGGGAGGTCTCCATAATGAGATGGGCGGCCTAACGCTGAATGGGAATCCCGCCCAGTCGGTATCTCTCCGAGCAGCCGAGTTGCACAAACGAAATGTAAAAGAGGATGGACTTCTTTACCAGGATAAACTAGACCGAATTTACAACGAATACCGCTTGCCAGCTAAATCCAAGGATGTGCCAGAGAAGTCATCACTCGAACTGCGTCCCATCGAGAATCTCGTGCTGGCCCATAGCAATATGCCCGTGCGGCCAATGAGCAGCTTGTCGGACTCGCTGCTCTGCCGGGACGTACTCATGGCCTTGGGCGACATGGATCTACAGACGGTGTTGCCCACGCAGCGTTATGCCTGGCCGCATCTGATGAAGAGCAATACATTGGTGCTGGTCGATCGCAATGGTAGAGGTCGCTCCTGGTCTTACCTGCCCCCGTTGTGCTCTCTGGTCATGCGCAGAATGCGCGCGGCACCAATTGGCCTCAATAAGGAGCCCAGCTTGGGGCCATTAGCCGTGTTGCTGGCGGACTCCGTGGCCAATGCCCAGGCGCTGTTCAATCATTGCACCAACCTGATGAGCTCCTACAAAACGAACATGTTAAAGGTGGTCAACACGCATGCCCACTGCGCGAAGGAGCTGCACATCAGACTGCTCTATTCCTGCGGCATCTTGGTGACCACACCCACGCATTTGAAGCAACTGTTGCAGCTGGACATGCAGCTCATCGATCCGCGCCGTCTGAAGTACTTCGTCATCGATGACTACGATCGCATGCGCGCCTCCGCTCCCCAGTTGCTCAACGAGCTGCTGCAAATGGTGCAGAACATGGCCATGACCCAGCTCCAGCTGGTGCTCATCGCCCAGCAGTGGCATGCACGCGTCTTTCTGGAGCTGGTCAAACGCTTTGGCGACAATCCGCTTCTGCTTTTCGGTGACTTCCTGGAGGCAGCCGTTTACGGAAGCCTCAAACTGAACGTCGCCGTACTGCGCAGCAGCAAGAAGACACAGCAGCTACTCGACTACCTGGGTGTCCAGAATCCCCTCAAGAGGCGCACAATCATTTACTGCAAACACGAAGAGGAGTTGGCAGCCTTGCGAAGCGCGCTGACTGAAGCTGGTTACGAGTGTATTGGTCCAAACGAAGTAGCTAATCAGGTAAAATGCAAACCCTAACTTTAACTTTATGGCGATTACTATCTGTTTACTATCTGCTTTTTTTTTTGGCAGCAAATTCATCAGCTGCTCCTGCTTACGGATGCAGTGCAGCAAACTCAGCTGCCTGTTGGAAATTTCGAGCTGATGGTGCACTACAGTCTGCCGGAATCTTGGTCAAAGTTCTCTTATCGCTTACATGCGGTCAGCGACAACATTAGCAACTGTCTGGTTCCGCAGAATTTCAAGCAGAACGTTGTCTCCTGCGTGATGCTGGACGAGAGCAACAGCTACGAGCTGCCGCGTCTGGTGCAATTCCTTGAAGCCCACGACATTGAGCTGGGCGAGCACATACTGCAAATGGTGGCCAGCTGTCGCCAGCTGACGGATCAGAGTCGTCAGTTCTGTCCCCAGATGCTGAGCAGCGGCGAGTGCGGCCAGTTGTATTGCAGCAAACGGCATTATCCAGTCAGTGTGGACTTTCAGCGGCAGTTTTGTGCCCTGTGGCAGCCAAAGACTGCGGTGCGCTGCAATATTATCAAAGTGTACGATCCGGTACACTTTGCCGTCATGGCTGTCAGCTACAAGAGCAGCCACAGTGACTCCTGGCAAGAGGCGTCGAACCTGTCGACTCTGCGAAAACTGAGTACGGCTCTCTACATGCACATGAGCAGCGAGCAGAATCGTCGCCCCAAGCAGTTGCTGAAAATCGCGGATGTCTGCGTTCTACACCGTGGAATTAAATATCAGCGCGTTCGTGTCGTCGATTTGTCCGACAAGCGGCTTGTCATCGTTCAGCTAATGGACGAGGGTACGGAACTGCTGCGGGTGAAGCCAGCCGAGCTGCTAGAGTGTGACGCACGCTTCACAGTGGAACCGCCCTTGGCAATGGATGTGAGATTGTGTGGACTGGTGCCAGCTGTCGGTGAGGGCGATTGGCGGCTGGAGGCCACCAAGTGGGTCAAGGAGTTACTGAGTGACCTAAGCGACAATCAGCACTTGCAGCTAATTGTGGAGTTTACCATGTTGAATGTTGTCTATGTGAAAGAAATTGCCGTTCTGCAGGATTGTCCAGCAATAAGAATCTGCGTGAAGTCCATGCAACTGCACGATGAGCTGATCAATCGGGGCTATGCCAAGCGAGAGCAGCAAGTCATGGATAACCTGCGCAAGTTGCATGAGGAGGTGGTCGCAGAGCAACAGAAACTAATAGAAGAGCAGGTCACCAGCTCAAAGTTGGAAGAGCAGCAGGTGCAACCGAACGGACAAATGCAGCCTGTGAAGCTGCCGCTGGCGGAGACTGAGGAAACTGAGAGCGACGAAAAGACAAGGAAGGAGGAAAGAATAGCCACAGAGAACAACCCACAGCTGTCATCAAATCCCACTTCTAATGGCGGCAAATTAAGTCAACTCTTTGGTGCAGTGCAAAGATACTTGCTTCGCAAAGAGGCACAAGCACCCGAGAAGGCAATTGAGCAAAGTGAAAATCCAAATGCGGCAGCCGAAGCCAAGGAATCGATGGGGGAAACTGTGCAGGAGGAAAAAGAGACTGCAGCATTGGTAGATAGCGCTGCCTTATTTATGGACGCGCTGCTGCAGGATCTGCGCAGTGCTGATGCGGCGGTGAAGGAGGCCGCACAGCACTTGATGCAGGACATACTTGGAGCCGAAAATGTCACAGCCGGTGAGGCCAATCCTTCAAAGAAAACACTTACTAAGGGGACCAGTAATTTGTCCAGGTCAAAGCCACAGTTGACACCTGATAAGATGACCAGTGCGCTGTGCTGTGCCGCCATCGCTGGCAACGCGGCGCGCCCAAAGGTGCGCTGGCACCAGACTCTCCTGCAGATTGAGCTCATCTTCGAACAGCAAGTGCCGCAATACGAGCTGGTGCATCAGGGCAATGTGCTGTTCTACCAGGTCACCGAAACCATACCGCCGCAGCGCTGCATCCTGAATTTGCTGGGCGCGGTTAAAATATTATCGGAGCAGCAGCACGGTTACCAGCTGCACGTCAAGTTGGCCAAAGATGGTCTCAATATGTACTGGCCCAGTCTGCTGGACTCGTTGTACCTACAGCAGCATTGCCATTGGCTGGTATATGACACGGAGCGCGCCAACATCCCCCAGCATAATTTAGGCCGCATCTATTGGATGCGATATCACCAAAATCATTATGTCCAGAAGGAGCGCGAAAACGATGGCTTCTGGTCAGCGGACGAGCAGAACGATTCTTCGGATGTGGAACCTGCTGGCACCGATAGCTGCGATGATCTATAGGAAAATAATTGACATATTTCTATTCTGTAATCAACCGAATGTGGCTTCTAATCAAAGGCGCAGGCGTAGTTTCATTTCCCATTTGTTAAACTCTGCATTTATGTTATTTCTTTTATGTATCTGTATTTTGACTGTTTTTCTGACTATTGAAAATAAATTGTGTACAAGTATAAACTAAACCCCGGTCAGTTGCTAGCTCCGAGAAGGCATCCAATAGAAAAGTTAAGCAACGGGATAAAGAAAACCATTTTTTTTTTTTTGTGTAATTCCTTACACTGTCTAGATTCGATCACCCTACTAGATTACTAGATTTACCATCCGATCGGATTCAAAATCATTTTCAAAGACGCGTTTCTCACATGTCTTCGCAAAATCCGCCCCTCTTCGATGATAAATGCGGGTGTGAGGTTATAAGGGCGAATTAAATGAATTTATGTTTCAGTGTTTTTGGAAATTCCACCCGCAACTGTGGAAGTTGTCACTATGAAAATTGTTGTTTATCATCGGCTTTAAACTCTTTAAAAAGATCGAAGATTCGGGTCAAAAGTTTAATCAACGAAAGTTTATATTCAGGCTTCAAGATTTGGGGATTGTGTGAGAACCGTTGATTCCAACGTTTGGTACGTTATTCGATGGAATGAGGGGATAATTTTTAGCAACAAATTTTTCACGGTTAAGGCCCGACATTGCCCGCTAGTAATAATAATGAAACAAGTAAGAGGCTCTAGTCGAGAGCTCCCGACTAGGGGATACCCTGAACCCTTTTCTTCCAACATCAAATGCATATATATATTCTATTTTATAAGCTATATGTCAAGTTTGATGACTCTAGCTCTTATTATTTACCAAAATTGCCCAAAAAACAGGATATCGATATCGATTTTAATCGATTGCTTGGAAACGGAGTAAGTTATCGATTATCGGAAACAAACTCGATCTGCGCGGGAACTAGGAGCATCTACATCTAAAATTTGAGTCTCTAGCTCTCATAGGTTCTGAGATCCTTGCGTTCATACATACGGACGGACGGACAGACAGACGGACATGGCTAGACCGACTCGGCTATTGATGCTGATCAAGAATATATATACTTTATGGGGTCGGAGAAGCTTCCCTCTGCCTGTTACATACATTTGGATTTTGCACAAATACAATATACCCTTATACCCATTTTTGATGGGTTCAGGGTATACTCATCGCAAAAGTTTCGATTCATATCGTTTTGGAACGTCATATCTCCGCGCGGAGTTATATCGTTTTGGAACGTCATATCTCCGCGCGGAGTTATGTCGTTTTGGAATGTTTGATGATTTTTTTGAAAATCTCGGGTAAATATAATCTCATTTTAAAATGTTATACCTTTTTGAATGCGTACGGATCCCTACTATCATATGGCATTCATTAAAAAAAAGTAGTTGGCCAAAACACGTTTCGCTTGCAAAGTCCACCTTTTTTGGAGTATCTCAAGTGAGATTCATTAAATTATGCTAAACGAAGTACTGTCCCAATCGAGCTCTCTCCACTGGATTTATTCAAGCCATATAAATAGGTAGATTTATCTAAATCAATATACTTACTTTGCATACCCAAGCCATTTGCATGACATAATATTAAACAAGTAAGAGGTTCTAGTCGGGAGCTCCCTTCTCTATATTCTATTTTTGAAGCTATATGTCAAGTTTGGTGACTCTAGCTCTTATTATTTACCAAAATTGCCCAAAAAACAGGATAGCGATATCGATTTTTATCGATTGCTTGGAAACGGAGTAAGTTATCGATTATCGATTATTGTATTTTCACAAATACAATATACCATTATACCCATTTTTAATGGGTTCAGGGTATAATAAAAACAAATTTGTGTTTGATTCCAAAGCGTTTTAGCTTAATATACAAAATTTAAATTAAAGATCTTACAGATCGAATACTTCTTAACTTTAAGCCCAAAAACCTAATGCTCATCTTAATATAAAAGTTCAAAAGAGCTAAGAACAGCGCTGACAGCGTCTCTCGGAATTTGATTGGTTAACAGCTCATTCTTGAGAAGACCTTCCACTGAGGCAGTCAATGCGGATAGTACTTGAATCAAAACGCTTTGATGCATTGGCTTCTGCTCCTTGGGTGACCAGGATTTGCTAGCCAACACCAGCGGGCCCAAATATCGTTCTAGTTCCTCCATGAGCTCCGTATAGTGATTCAATTCGCTTTGTTCGGAGCACGGCAACAGCAGCGCGGCGACCTCAATGGGTGCATTTTCATTGGGAAGCACGCAGCCGGCCCAAATGACATGGCCCCGATGGAAGGTGCGCTGTATGCGCAGATAACGTCCTGGAAACTGCTCAGCCAGTGGCTGCTGTGGCAGAACATTAGTCAGTATATTGGAATTGACTATGAAGAGCTGGTGAAAGCTTTTGAAGAATGTATGGGTGGTAAAGTGTTCCATGCAGGACAGCTCGCTAATTGACTTGGAGCTAAGTCGCCAGGGTGAATCGAAATCCAGATGTAAAGTGGACCGGGTTCCGTCGATGTACAGATGACGACAGGCCTCTGCCAAGTTGTTCTTAAAGAATCCAAGCAGTTGCAAGGCATCGCAGTCCGACAGCTGATAAAGTTCTTTGGCTATCTGCAAATACTCTCTTAACTTGAGTGTATTCCACTTTTCCGGTTGTAGGCTGTTGATGGCGTAATATCCGTCAATCGACGGAAACAAATTAGATCGTTCATCCAGCTCGCACGTGTTTCCCAAATTTGTGGTCAGGACAACTCTGAGACGTTTCCGTATTGTTGTTGGCGTTGGTGTTGCCACAGCGATTCGGGTGCACATATTCCTTGGGGACATGCTGCGGTCCGAGTTTAAGTTGTAAAGACACCTTTGCATGGTCAAATGTTAAATATTCACTGTTTATTTATGCAAATACAAAAAAAGCGCTACAGCAGTGTTTTAAAGTACGTGCATAACTTTGCGATTTCTTAGCACTAATTTCGCAGTCTTGCATAATTGTGCAGCACTGCAACAAGGGTATTTCTGCCTTTAGGGAAATTTCAGTTGTAAACTTTATGCTTTGTATGCGTATGTGTAGAATTATACCTTTATTAGAGTTGACAGTAAGATACTGTAATTGCCGCAACTAGAACAACTTTCCTCGTATGGTTATTTACATGTCCCTGTGACATTAACTGGCAGCTGGCAGCGAACCAACTGTGCAGCTCGTTACTCTAGCCTTCAAAATGTTTGGCAACTTTTACCATTGTAGTTTCCACATTTTGTTCTTAAATTAGAGAGTATTTTAGGCATGCTCTCAATTGAATTTAATTTAATAAATGTTTTTATCTAGGTTACAGAACAGTTCTTGTATTTGATATACATATATATATCTTGGTTTTCTTTTCCAATGCTATCAATACACATTGTATTACAATTAATAGTAAGCATTAATCATGAGTAATGTATTTATTTGTATATTACCTATATATGCTATATAGATGTCGACTTTTATGCATATTAGCCTAACATTTACATAAATATCGTTAATAGTAACATTTACTTTAAATATTCATCAGTATTTATGTATATACAAACTTATAAGTGGTTCATGAAACAATTTAATTTAGGTCTTAAAAAAAATTAAAAATTTGACATTTAAATAATTTGAAGATATTACAAATGTGACGCTGAGAAAAAAATAATAATAGAATTAATTATGTTGCTTATCAGTAAATTGAGCTTGATATCAAAAGAAAAAATTGTTAAAGAAATTTTGAATATTTGAATACAGTATTCAAAATGAAATATCCAATTCGAATTAAAAAAAATGAAAACAACAAAATTAATAAAAATGCTTGGAAATTCGTGAGACCTAATTAATGTATGGGCTATATTTTAGTGAAAGAATATCTTATATACGATTATTCCATGATATAGAACAGTATTAAGTATAGGTAGGATTCGGGTGTTACGGATATTCTATTGTGACTTAAGGTTATCGTTGTTGCTGTTGCTAGGTGTGAGTTCCGTTTTACTTGTCGTATATTATTAATACATTGTGGCTATGTTTCGATTGTTATCTCTAGGCTTTCTATAGCTTTCTATATATATATATATATATATATCTAAACTGCACTTAACGTGTTGGGTGTTGGGTTGAGCTAAATGCTAGGACTTTGCGCACGTTTCCTTTGGATGCCCGGACAACTATTGTTGTTAGCTGTGAGCTAAAACAAACTGCTCTGCTTGGCTAGGCTGCAGCTGTGCAGGGTCATGGTGCCCGCGGGATGGATCGCGAGGGCGGCGTGTATTGTTGGCGGCGGCGTCGTTACGGGGCCCCAGGAGAGCCGCTTTCAGTTCGGTCGCAATGGCAACATGCCATAATGCTGCTGATGCGCCTGCTGCTGCTGCTGCATCATCATTTGCTGCTGCTGCTGTTGTTGCTGCTGCTGTGCTGTTGAGGTCGTGATCGTCGTGGGCACCTGCGATGTGGTATAGGTAACGGCACAGGTAGCCGGCTGCGAAACGACAACGGGTGCGCTCACCTTGCGCTCCGATTGCGTGCGTATGGGCTGTGGATGAGCCGCATTGGGTTGAGGCGGTGGCGCATACATCAGCATGGGAGGCGGCGGCGGGGAGGGCTCCACGCTGGGATGACGCGCTGGCGGCGTGACTGCCGACCCATGATACGACCCATACGAACTGTCATCGGATTGCGCCGACTGGCCACGATTGCGCGGACCGGTCATGCCATAGAGCTGCTGCTGCTGCTGATCCCGACGCTCGAACTTGTGATTGCCATCCAACGGTGTGGGATTGTTGCGTGAACCATAGACCGGCTGGAAGCCCTGTGGTTGCGCCTGTGGCTCCGACATGATCTGCGCTCCTTGATGCAGTTGCTGCTGTTGCTGCTGCTGCTGTTGTTGTTGTTGCATGCCAACTGGCGCCTGCTGTTGCTGCTGCTGCTGCTGTTGTTGTTGCTGCTGCAGAGGTTGCTGCTGTCCGCGCATGGATCCACGCATGGCATAGATGCTCTCTGTACGCTGTTGCATTTGATTCTGCACGTTCTGGTTTTGCAGATGAGACGATTGAGTTGCCGTGACTGCCTGCTGATGCTGTTGTTGTTGCTGCTGCTGTTGTTGCTGCTGCTGCTGCTGGTGTGTGCGTA